TTTTTTTTTTGCACCATACATCACCTGTATCTTTTAAAAGCAATGTTTCTGAGTTTGTTTTTCTGTACTCTCTGTATTCATGTACCTTGTTAGTATAGTCAATCAGAAAAAGAGTATTTCCTTTGATTTTATTGTGATTTTTTATACAAAAGAAGCCCTATTTTTAAAAAATTGAACCTGTAGTTAGAGATATCTGTCTCTGTGTATTTTCCTTGTTTTGCAAGTAAAAAACAATCTGTTAACCAGAAACAGTGTCTCGGGATTTTTTTCTCCCCCAGGCATCACAACAGGAGATTGCATTGGATGAGCTCAAGATCTCTTCTAGCTCTATATAAGTCTAGCTCTATACAATTCAATGAATCTTATATAGGGTATCCCAAAAATTCTTAATGCAATTTAATCTGTTCATTCTTAAAATTGTAATAGGAGTTTGGAACACATTGTATTTCTTTGTATCCCTCTGTGGATCTAGTAAACATTCAAAACCCTTTAGAAGTTAATGAATATTCTAAAAATATATATATTTTTTAAAAGGATATTTTTACTTTTCTCTTTAGTGTGAGGATAAATCACCACATCTACCCCATATCTTCTGCTGGCATAATGGAGGCCATTACCTTCATGGAACAGGCTTAGAGCTGCCATTCTTGGTCCTGGTGGAACCTGTGGGAGCTTTGGGGCCTACTTCCAGTCCCATGAAAAGACTTAATTTTAGTATGGCAAAACTTTTTTTTTTTTAAATTTTTTGAGGCAATTGGGGTTAAGTGACTTTCCCAGGGTCACACAGCTAGTGTGAACTCGGGTCCTCCTGACTCCAAGGCTGGCACTCTATCCACTGCACCACCTAGCCGTCCCCGTGGCAAAACTTTTAGTGGTTCCTTTCCCCTCCTCCCTCTGAAGTAGTGAGGTAGGGGTGGGATACTGGGTCAATTAAAAGATTAACTCTTGCATGGTCTTCTCTGTTATGATGCTGCTGTGTGGCAAGTATTCTTTGTGTTGGTTCTGGGGGATGGTGTGTGCTACTCCCCATATGGAACACGGACTCAACCAAGGGAGCTGGTGGCTTCGTCCCTCAGCTCCTTTTTCTGTTTGCTTCCTTGAGTAGGTAACTAAATATGGTTTTTGTGGATGTTCTTTTCATGTGTAGCCAACCTCTTGAGTTTGCAAGAAAAATCAGAAAGTCCTGGGTGCAAAGACAGAGGTGGTAGGTTTGGCAGCAGCTGAGCCCCATGGTCAGGGGTGGGGGATTGACATGGATTTGTTTTGAGCTTCATAACACCAGTGTGAGATGGTTGCCATTGTTATCCCCATTTTGTTTCTGTATCTGTTTGGAATATGCTTCTCTAATCTCCATTGTAAGCTTTAATAGCTTACAATTGCACTAAGACTTTTGGGACATCATATATATATATATATATATATATGTGTATGTGTGTGTGTGTGTATATATATATATAGACAGACAGACACACACACACACACACACACGTCTCCTCCACATGTGTCTCTAAGTCTCAAAGGCCTGGAGTTTCTGCTATTTAGTTATTTAAAGCCCCCTGATACATGACTGCCTTGTTTTCTCAGTCAAATTGTCCCGCTCTTGATCGGATCAGGAGGGCACTGGAATTTTGAAAAATAAAAGTAATCAGGCAAATTGATGTGTGTGTGTTTTTTTAAAGAGTTAGTTTAAATACCTCATTTATACCTGGGGTGGATTATGTTCTGGGACAACTGAATGGGGTGGGAGGGAAATAGCATTCCTTCCTGTCTTATAGATAAGGGAAGTGAGGGTTAGAGAGGTTAAGACTTTTTGTTCATGGTGACCCAGCTAGGTCAGAGGTAGGACTGGAGTGCAGATCTTCCTGACTCCAAGCCTGGGGGCCTGTATCTGCCGTGGGTTGTCTCTCCCCTTCAAAGTCCTTGAGGTTGCAAGTTTTGCAGTCCACTGTCAGTTGTAAACTGAGACAAATACCAGTTTTTTGAGCGTTACTGGGGTCATCCAGCACAGGCTAGGCTAACATCCAGTAGATAAAGTTTTTTAGGTGGCTGAATCACTCAGAGCATCAGAGAGACAGTTTTCGTGCCTTTAAACTTTGGCAAAATCGATACGAAGAAGGCATTATGCAGTTTGGAGAAGCTCTTGGCAGCCCTGTACACACAAAGGTTTTAAAATAGGCAGGAAGGGTGGAGGGAAGAAGCACCTAGAAAACTTGTCTGGGAAACCTTGACCCGTTTTCATTTTTCTTCTTAGTGCTGAAGTTCTAACAACTCTGATTCAGTCACCTGAAGTGAACATCATTGACACAGGAGCCAGAGCAGACTCCTTGCAGTAGACAGCGAGGCCCGTAAGGCACAGAGCTCCGTAAACCACCCACAGGGCCTCCACTTCCCTGTTTCTCTAAATAATGAGGAACAGGGAAAGCTGGATAATTGGCATTCAGAGACAAACCCTGCTCATTATAGGCAATGGTTCCGACTTTTGCCTCCGCTGAACTTTCTCACAGAGCTGCAAACAAGTTGACAGTTGGTACGAGATTCCCTCTCCCTGAACGTGAATGCAAACAGATAAATATTAGTATCTGGAGGATTAACCAGCCCTTTCCCAAGTTGTTTTGCCTTATGTAATCAGACCAAAGATTCACTCAGAACAACAAACGAGTTATCTTTTTATTAAGGTGACCAACAAAGTGAGGAAATCCAGGCCTGGCTGACCTTGACTTTGCTGCGGAACAAAGAAAAGTAGTCAGAACCCAGGTCCTGTGTTCCTTCTTAGGTTCCTTGGGAGGTTAAGTGCCAGACCTAGCCCCCTAGCCCATCTCCCTCTCAAGGGAGCAGAGTTGATCTGAGGAGGCCACTTATGTTACAAGGCAGTCCAAAAGTCAGAAGGGGGATCAAATAAAGCGAAACACTGAAAGGGTCTCTTCTAAAACTGATCTCCCCACAGACATATGCATAAAAGGGAGGCAGAAGAGCAACCTCTTTCCAACTTAAGGAGCCCCAGAGGGAGGAAAGTCCCAGGTTCTTTTGTCCAGGAGCCAAGAAGAAAGGTCAGCTGATAGTTGAGATGAATTTGTGTATAAGTGTTAGGTCCTCTTAGAGAGCAAGTAGTAGGAGGGGAGCTAAGAACGCAATGCGGGAGAACTGCTGGGAAATGGCATGGCTTGCATAAAGGTGGGCTACGGCCACATTGGGGTTGCCTTGGGCAGGGTCAAACCACATCTGGATGCAACGTCCACTGCCCCGTCGCTCTTTGGTGGCTTTGTAAGAGTTGCTCCAGATCTTCTCACAGAGGTCAGCTGGAGATGGGAAATAGTGAGGGAACGGACGACAGAGGGCCCTGGGAGGACAGTGGTTCTTACCTGAGGTGGGGAGGAAAGCACAGTATCCATAAGGAGCCAAGTATTACGCTACAATCCGTGCCCCCTCAAGTAGAAGGGAATGGCCACTCTTCCTGCTAGGAATGGTTGTTCAGAGCATCACCAGGCCAGCTAGCCTTGGCAGCTGTAGGCCCAGCCTGCCTAGGTTAGCACAAGCCTCATCCTAGGCATCAGTGTGTGCTCTCTGCCCCAGCCCGTCCACTTACCTGCTCTCCAGGTCCAGCCTCTGTGCCAGTCAGACTTGCAGGTATAAGAGGTGCGGCAGTCTTCCCACCATTCTTCACAATCTTCCCAGCAGAGAGGCACGTTCAGGACACGCTCCTTCTGCCAGCTAGAGCTCACCTGGGATGATGGGAGGAGGAAAGAAAGAAGAAGCTCAATTCTGTGTTGGGAGCTTGCTGTGGCCCTAAGCCCCCTCTCATTCCCGATTTGATTCTCTGTGGCATAACCAGAAACACGCCTGTTCTACCTACGTGAGGAGCTCTTCCAAGCCCCTGCTCCTCCAGAGAGAAGAGGTCATGGCTCTTCCTAAAAGAGCCCTGGGGATACTAGAACAAATGCCTCACCGTGCCTCAGCTGCTTTCTCCCTCCTTTTCTGTGCCCGGCTGATTTCTTCCCAGAACCAACATATGGAGGAGGAAGGTGGAAAGGATTGGGGAATGGGGGTGGGTCGGCCTTCCTTCTTCTCTCCCTCTCCTCACCTTCAGCTTCCATTTCATGTGTGTCTTCCTGCGTTAGAATATAAGCTACTTAAGGGCAGAGACTGTCTTTTTGTTTGTTCAGATTTGTATGCTTAGCACTTAACGGTGCCTAGAAGTAAACACTTAATAAATGCTTGGTGACTTGACAAGATAATCCCTTTCAAATGTTACTGTTGAACGTATGACCTTGGCCAAATCACCTCCCTTCTCTGAGTTTCAGTTTCCTCATCTGCAAAATAAGGGGGTTGGACTAGATGATTAAGGACCCTTCCAGCTCTAATTCTGTGGTTTTCTGCTTTACTTTTCCTGCTAAGCAGTCAGCACCTTGAGACCAGAGCATACTCTTCAGTTAACATTCCTCCCAGGCCTCAGCACTGGGCTGCCTTTTCCCCTAGCTCTACCCACCTTCTGGATCCAGGGCCCCAGGTTTGGGGAGCACTCAGAGAGGCAGGCATTTTGGATAAAGTGCATCCTGCAGCTGGGGGTCATCACGCCACAATGCCTGAAGTTGAAGTTGTATAGAGGAGACACATCCATGTGAACTTCCCAGCTCGTGTTGGCAGTACAGCAGGCATTATCCTTCCAGGGGCTACACTGCAGGACAGAAGAACCAAAAGCTTTTCTTTTCTTTTTTTTGGGGGGGGAGGCAGGGGAGGTGTAGGATATGGAGGGAGGATATTTAAACAGACAAGACAGGGGAATTCTGGATGGCTCAAATGAGGTACAAACTGCCCTAACACCTCCATGTCCCCAACATAGGGTCGTTTCCACTTTCCGTAGGACAGCCAAGACACATATTGGGGGGTGGAGGCAAATACATGGAATGGGGAAAAATTACATTAAAGTTATGGTAGACCTGGGATTACTTAAGAGTTTTATTCTACTTTGAATAATTATGTGCAGCCATGCTATTACTAAGGTCCCGAGGATAGGTAGCACAAGAGAGAAACGTTAGCATAAAGTGGTAGAGAAAAGGATTGCAAGATAGAATCTCATTTATGCTCTCTAGCCTCTATGACATTGACAAGGCCCCATCTGCTTACCTGGGCAGCTAGGTGGCTCGGTCCATAGAGCACTAGGCTTGGAGTCAGGAAGACTTCCTGAGTTCAAATCCAGCCTCAGACACTTACTGTCTGGGTGACCCCGGGCAAGTCACTTAGCCCTGTTTGTCTCAGTTTCCTCATTTATAAAATGAGCGAAGGCAATGACAAACCACTCTAGTATTTTTGCCAAGAAAACCCCAAATAGGGTCATGGAGAGTCAGACATGACTGAACACAACTGAACAACAACAACAGAACATTACTAGAGTTCTGGATTATGTTGATCTAGGATGTTGGGGATCTTCGTTTGACATGAGTCACATATGCCCAAATTGCACCCAATAACGCACAAGCAAGCTTGCTAGAGATGAACAAATATTCAAATAGGTTGGTACCAAATCAGTAGACTTATTTTCCAAAAGTAGACTGAACACTAGCAGTGAGAGTATGGTCATAGGATCATAGATTTAGAGCTAGAAGCGAATTTAGAGACCAAGCCCCTCATTTTATAGGGAAGTAAAACTGAGGCACAAAGAGGATTTTCCCAAGGCCACACAGTTAGTAAGTGTCTGGGGAACAGGATTTGAACTCAACTCTTTCTGACTCCAAGTTTAGTGCTTTATCCACCATGCCATTTAGCTATTTCAGAGTTAGAAGTCCTGGGTCTCAGTCCAGTTCTGCTTATAAACTTGTCGTGTGGTTTTGGGTGAGGCACTTCCCAATTTTTGGACTTCAGGTTCCTTATGTGTAACTTTGAAGTCTTTAATCTATGATGTTATGAATCCATCCCAGGTGCATAGGCAAGATTCCATACCTGTTCATGGAGCTTATTTTCGGGACCTGGTTTCTTCTTGTGGTGTTTGGCATCCATGCAAATGTTGAGCAGCTCCCTTTCAGCCTGGACCAGAGACGCAACCAGAAGCCCTAGGCACCACCATTCCATGGCTTTGCTGTTGAAAAGGTAGATAACCTGCTTTTGGCATGGGAGGCCAATGGAAGGGTTTCTTCCCTAATCCATTCAGGTTTAACAAGGTTTCTTGGAGGGAGGGAAGGGAAGCACCTTGGATTCTTGCATGTAACCACAAAATATAGAATGATACTATAAGTATCCTGCATATAATGGTTGTACTGACCTGATGGGGAATGTCAATGCAGGGCCCTAGTCTTCTAAATAGAGGGTCCTTCTAGGCCTAGGGATTTTTTGATCCTCCATAGAAGAGGCAGCATTGTCAGAATTCAGGCTTTTTTGGGGCTCACATTCCCAGTTTCCATCATCACCAACTTGAGCTAGGGAATCTTGAAGAATAATCAATGCCTTTCTGGGCTAAGGTTTTCTTACATTGTAGACCAGGACAATTTGAAAAAAGAGTAGTGTCAGGCATGAGGAAAATGGAGATTCAATCCATCCATCCTTTGGCTTTTTACAGAGCTTCATTTACATTAAAGCTGCAAAACTCTCCACTTTAGAAAATAGTAACTTGTCTTTTAAGATTTCCTCCCTTTATTATGCACCTTAATTTCTTTTTTAATGATACAACCAAATATTTTATTTTTTCCAGTTACATATAAAAATAATTTTTAACATTCATTTAAAAAAATTTTGAGTTTCAAATTTTCTTCTTCCCTCCCTTCCCCACAAATGAGAAGTCAAGCAATTTGATATAGGTTATACCTGTTCAGTCATGAAAAACATTTCCATTTTGTAAAAGAAAAAACAAACCAAAAATCAAATAAATAAGAAAAAGAAAGTAAAAAAAAAAGTATGCTTTGATCTGCATCCAGAATCCATCAGTTCTTTCTCTGGACACACCCTAATTCCCCAGATAGTTTTTCCAAATTCTTCCTCAAGTTTCCTTTTCTATTGATTCTCCCCCTCCCTTAATAACAGGAGAGTCTCTTCATGCTATCCACAACTCCTTATTTTCTCCTCCTTAAATTTTATTTCTAGTTCTTATGTTCACTTTAAATGCTTCTTTTTGCCTGCTTCCCTATTTTGATGTTTCCTAATAGGAAATTCTGTAGACTCCTAGGACATGCTTGGAAGGGTATAAATATGTATCTGTGTGGGAGATAGAAATCAGTCACTCTCACTAGCCTTTCCTCTCATTATCAAGGATGGGGTCAGGTAAAAAAAAAAAGAAAAAGTACACACAGGCATTCTTCTTAGCATTTTCTAGTGACCTAGAAAAGCATTCCTGGTCACTCACCTGAACGTGGGCATTTAATTAAGGTGGGAAGGCTGTCTCAATCTGAGAGCCCGATTCTATTATGATGGGAATGAAGAGGCCATTCATTCATTCTGAATTAACCATATGTACTTGCTACCACCCAGCATTATGGAGGGTGGGGGTGGCATACAAAGAAACTGGAGACTTAAGGTCTTTCCCAGAAATAGCTTTCACCTTTCTCCTCCACTTCCTCACTATACTCAGATAAAAAAAAAACTATGTATCATAAGACAATAGGAATAATGCCATTCTCTATTCTGGCCACCTATTCTTCACCTAACCTTCTTTTCATTTTTGTCCTTTAGAAGTCAGTGGCCCCTTCCTTCAAGGTGCTCATCACGGATTTATCACGATGAAGCCAAAAATCTATCTAAAGACTAGATTCTAAATATTCTCTAGTTGGATAGCCCAGATCCCCTCTACTGATAGTATCTAAGGCTAAGAACCAATAGGATAGGGATCTACTGGATGAAGGAAGCCCCCTCTAACAACACAAGTTGATGCCTTCTCTGAGATTTATAATTCTATTTTATTTATTTATTTATTTTTTGGCGAGGCAATTGGGTGAAGTGACTTGCCGAGGGTCACACAACTAGTAAGTATCAAGTGTCTGAGGCCAGATTTGAACTCAGTTCTTCCTGAATTCAGGGCTGGTGCTCTATCCACTGTACCATCTAGCTATCCCAGATTTATAATTTTAGAGAGTTGCTTAGAGCACTGAGAGAGGTTAAGAGATTTGACCAGTGACTCAGAGCCAGTATGTGAGAGGTGGGACCTGATCCCAAGTCTTCTTGACTCTAAGCATCACTCTCTATCCACTATACCATAGCTCTCTATACCATAGCCTCTCCAAACAGAATGGGCAAAATATTCACAGAGCCTCCCACACTGGCAATTTAAGAAATCCAAGCAGAAACCTCAGAGCAAGGAAAGAAGCATACCTTAGAAAAGAAGGAAGGTGTTTCTTCCTCAAAGGGCTGCCTGCACTGAGTGAGAAGGCAGCAGTTGTCTGGCACTCCTTCCTCTCCCACCAGTAAGAGCAATTGTGACTTTGTGGTCAATGACCTCATTTTCCATCCAATCTGATTCCCAATAGGATACAGGTGTGGGGAAGAGAAGCCAAGCCCAGCTCCAGAGGAAGCTAATTCAAATAACAACCACTTCAGAGAACAGAATAAAGGGAAGAAAAGTTAGGTTTATTTTTCCCACGTTATGTTAGGGCGGGCACTAAGTGAACTTTATTTCCGTCTGGTGCAAGTTAAAGGAAGAGTAGAAGGCAAGATGCTGGGGTTTTATAACTATTGCTAATCAATATCCTATTTTTTGGCTTTGTTCACTTCCTTCCTCAATTGGGTACAGGTGGACAATAGTGAAGGTCACATTTTCCCCCAACTAGCTGTCCTTGGACCAAGCCAATCAATTAAGTAGCAATCCCATCTTGTCAACCTAAGGAGCAAGGATTCCTGGCAAAGTAAAATATTATTCATCAGGGGCTCTAGTTTCTCCTTTTTCAAGTTTGGCTCCTTTCTCAGTATATTTTACTGTATCATCATCCTTGTCCAACCCTCTACTCATGCTTTCTTCTAGTGATTTCATCAGCTCCCGTGGGCCAACTGTCATCTCTAAGTAGATGACTCTCTGATCTATAATCCAGCCCCTGTGCTTATTAACTCTCTCCAGCAAGATATTCCATAGACATCGCAAACCTAATGTGCCCAAAGCAGAGCTTATTCATTACCTTTTCCCATAAGTTCTTTCCACTTCCTACTTTCCCCATTTATGGTAAAGGGACCACCATCCTTCTAGTCAGCTCATTTTCTCCTTCTCTATCTCCTTCTCCATCTCCTCCATCTCCTTTTCCTCCTCCTCCTCCTCCTTCTTCATGACCCCATTTGGGGTTTTCTTGGCAAAGATACTGGAGTGGTTTGCCATTTCCTTCTTCAGTTCATTTTACAAATGAGGAAACTGAGGCAAGCAGGGTTAAGTGACCTGTCCAGTGACATAGCTAGTAAGTGACCTCACATCCTATCAGATGCCAAATCTTACCAATTCTATTCCCACAATACAAGATGACCACAAAATCTTAGTGCAGTTTTAAGTTGTTTCTCTTACATCAGTTTCCTTCTCTTCACTCACACAGCTACCACTATAGTTTAGAACCTCATCACCTGTTGTTTGGACCATTGCAACAGCTTCCTAACTGATCTTCCAGTTTTCAGTGTCTCCTATCCCCAGTCTTCTATATAGCAGCCAAAGTGATATTCTTAAAGTATACATCTAACTATATCACTCCCGCTCAAGAAGGTCCAGTGGCTTCCTATTGCTTCTAGGATAAAATATTAATTTCTCTGTTTAATTTTTAAAGCTTGTGCTCGGAGCCTTGGAAAGCCATCCTAAGCCCAGGAATCATGATGATGCAGATGTCTGATCCAGCATGAACGTGGGGCTTACCAAAGAATAGGTTTACCTAGCACACAAGGACATAGTTAAATATAGAGCAAAGATACAAGTTGATAGTCTGGTTTTAGTTCTGGATCAGACCTTCTCTTGTTTCCCTTTTTCTTCATGGACAAGATGGTTAGGTCATGGTTAATGTGACCTGCACAAAGTGAAGAATCTGCTGGGTTTGAGAAATCCCTGTGCTCCTGTGCTGGGCAATTTTCTATGATTGGGGGCAGGGATGCTCCCAGATACCCCATCATCAATGTAAAGATTTCCATTATGCATGAAGCAAAGAAAGTTTCATTCTCTGGCTGCCCATGGGGCAAGGAGATACTGTTCATCAGTCTCCCTCAACGCCTAGCAGTTTGTAATCCTAGCTATTTTTTAAAATAGATTATAGACTTCTCCTTTGAAATGCTCACCACAACCTAGAAGCTTCCCCTTTGAAAGCCTGTGTGTTCTGCCTTGGACTGCTTTATGCTTTGCAATGTGTGTATAAGTCTGCTATAGCCTGCCATAGATCCCTTCTCACAGCCTCAGTCAATCAGTTAATAACCATTTATTAAGGCCCACTATATGCCAAGCATTATGCTAAACACTGGAGATACAAAAAGAGGCAAAAGATAGTTCTTGCCTTCAAGGAGCTTACAGTTGATCTGGCCCTAGTTTTTCCATCTAGGCTTATTGTACATTACTACTCTTCAGACACTGTTCCAACAAAATTGTACTGACAAGTCAACTAGCATTTGTTAGGTACCCACTACGCATCAGGCATGGTGCTAAGCATTGAGGATACAAAGGAAGGTAAAAACAGTCTTTGCCCTCAAGGAGATCATAATCCAATGCAGAAGACAACAGGCAAACAAATATGTACAACCTCTGTCTCTCTCTCCCCTTTCTCTTTCTCTCTTCACACACACAAACACACACACATATATATGTATATGTGTGTATGTATATGTATGTATATGTACATAAAGTTTAATGTATACTATGTTATAATATAACGTAACATGTATGATGTATAATATGTATGTGATATAAAATACAATATACATTTATAATATTTGTATATAATATAATAATATACCTATATGTATATAATTTAAGTAGAAGTGAATGGGGCTGGCTCTAAAGGAAATTGTAAATTTCCAGGAAAATGTGACTTTGAGGGCCCTTCATTTCCAGTTCCCACTCCTATCATGGAGCTCTGGGATTCCTA